CCACCGCGCTGCGCCTCCAGCTGCAGCAGCGGCTGCAGGGGCAGCAGCAGGTAACTCTTCCCCCTCCGCATCCCAGGGCCACGAGCAGGGGGTCGGAGGGACCCGCGCTCCTGCCTGCAGCCCACGTGTCCCAGCCGGATGGGATCGGACGGGTGGGAAGCTCCTGCATCGGAGTTTTGAAGGTCTCCCTTTGTTTTTTTGTTTTTGTTTTTGTTTTTGTTTTTTTCTCCTCCTCCTCTCCAGCTGATCCATCAAAACCGGCAGGCGATCCTCAACCAGTTTGCAGCCAATTCCCCGGGGGGCATCAACATGCGGGCGGGGATGCAGCAGCAGATCACGCCGCAGGTAAGGGGGATGCGGCACAGTCCTCCAGCTGGGAAAAACTGGGGGTGGATCCCCACACCCTCCCTGTAAGCACAGCCTGGCCCGCTCCTCTCTCTCATTAATGGGAGAGAAAAACTCTCCCGCGTGTGGAGAGGTGCTGTGGGTTTGGGGTTTTTTTTCTTTTCTGCTTCATCCTTATTCCAGCTCCTCCACCTGCTTAAGGTATAAATCCTTCATTATTGCTTAGAGAAGAATGTGCTAACGCTTTTAATTGAGGAGGATCTTTAGGAAGGAGATGCCATTCTTTAAATACCAGAACCTACTGAATCTTTTTAATGATCCTGCAAATCCCCAGGCCCTGAAATTCTTGTTTGGCTTCTCATAAAGTGAACAAAACATCTGCTGGGTTCGAGGAGAAGTTGGAAAGCGTAGCCGAGTTCTGGTGACTTTATTCCACTTCTCGGAGAAGCCTTTGCCTTTTTGGGAAGCGGCGTGACGTCCCTAATGTGCCATGGGGAGCATTAGTGATAGGGAAGGGGACCAAACGGTTCCCATCGCAGCTCCGATTTCAGCCGCTGATGGCTTTGTCAGGCTTTTTAAGGTGATTAATTCCAACACATCTGGCTCAGCCATATGGGGAAGGAGCCCATGGCGGACGGAAAAGCTCGTGGGATGGGGTTTTTTTTGAACAGCTCGCAGCTGAAGGAGCGGAGGTCGGGGATCCCGGCGTGCGGGAGCATCCCCAGTGAGGGTCCCGCGGAGGAGAGGGGTGGCCGGTGGCAGCCAGGTGACCGAGAGCCTTTTTTCCCAGCTTGGGGACGCTCCGGCTCGTGGAGCTTTGCCATTCGGCACGTCCAGAGGCCCATCTTTTAATATCACCAACCTGTCTGCCCTGCAGTGGCGCCGTCGGGCCAAGTCACAGCATTTTGGGGTTTTTCCAGCTTTCCTTGCCAAGCAAGGACAGGCACCCCGAGGCGGGGAAGGGGAGCACCCACAGCTCTTGTGCCGGAGAGTGGGTGGGGTAGGGGTGTCTCTGAGCTGTTTGCCAGAACCGGAGGGTAACGGTGATAAATGGGGCACCCCCCTCCTTCCCCGCAGCCTCCCCTCAACGCCCAGATGCTGGCCCAGCGCCAGCGCGAGCTCTACAGCCAGCAGCACCGGCAGCGGCAGCTCATGCAGCAGCGAGCCATCCTGATGAGACAGCAAAGCTTCGGAAACAACCTCCCTCCCTCCGCCGGGCTCCCGGTACAGATCGGAGCCGCTCGCTTGCCCCAAGCACCCCCCCAGCAGTTCCCTTACCCTCCAAATTACGGTACGACCCCGGGAAACCCTCCCACCTCCACCAGCCCCTTCTCGCCGTTGGCATCCAACCCCGAGGCCGCGCTGGCTAACCGCAGCAGCATGGTGAACAGGGGGATGATGGGCAGCGTCGGAGGGCAGTTCGGCGCTGGGATGACCCCGCAGATGCAGCAGAACATCTTTCAGTATTCGGGATCAGGTACGCCAGGCAGCCGGTTGCACTTGGAAAGCCATCCGGCGGGGGGGGGGGGGAGGCGGAGGGCAGGGCTGAGACCCCCGAGGGTGCTGCAGCCCAGCTCTGCTCGCCCATCACCCTGGGCTTCATCCCCGGCCATCTCACCCAACCTGCATACTGGTCTGGGCTCTGGGCTCCACCTCCCAAGGGACCTTTTCTGGTTGAATCTCAAAAAAAAAAATAAAAAAAAAAATGCCATTTGGGCAACTTTAACTCTTTCCTTGAAAGTAATTATCTTAATTCTTTCCTTGAAAATGGAACTCCAAAGGCAGTCCTCTAAATTGCTCTCCCTTCAATATATAAGCTCTGAAAAAAGCCAAACTCTGGCTGAGATGCCTGGCATGAGCATCAGTGCAGGGTCTTGGCAAGGTGGACATCACTGAGGAGTAGAGAAAGCGGTGGTGTGGCTGCGGTAGCCCCGCAGGAACCTCCTTCGGCATCATCTCATCATTACCCTGGCTATTTTCCAGCCAGGTGCGATGCTAAAGAGGAACGCCTGCTGATGGAAACCACTTGGGGGGGGGGGGGGTTTCCCTGCTTCTTCATCCCTGAAATATTTACAGTTGAGCGATAGAGCAGCTCGAAATGAAAATCAGAGACGCTGAGACCGAAAGTCAAGCGTGATGGTTCTGGTTGCAAGGGAGGAGGAGGGAACTGGGGCTGCTGGTGGGGGTCTGGGCACCGCTGACGCCCTCTGTCCTTCCCCAGGAATGGGTCAGCAAAGCGAACCCGCCTTTGCTCCGTCACTCAGCCCCAGCAGCCCCTTGATGTCACCCCAGCTCCCACCTTCGCAAAGCCCCATGCTGCAACCTGCTCCGCCAACACCGGGCTACCAGTCGCCTGACATGAAGACCTGGCAGCAAGGAGCCATGGGGAACAGCAAGTAAGAGCATGGGGGGGGTAACCTGGAGCACACGGGTGACACAGGGAGAAGGCAGCAAGGTGACAGCGGGGTGATGGTCCCCTGGTAGGGTGGTGGGAGGTGCCTGTAGGTGACACCTGGCTGAGGATGCGTGCTGAGCTCAGGCTGTGTCCTCCTACCATGACATCCCGCAGAAGTCACCATCAGCCCTATCCTCATCTTTGCCTCGGAGGCAGCCAGAAGCCCACAGCATTTAAATGCACGAGCACGTGCATCGAGTAAGACACGATGCAGGTCTTTGGCTTGTAATTAGGGTGGTTTAATTACGTCTCGTGAAAGTGGGCTTAGGAAACATGACAATAAGTTGAGTCAAGACCAGCAGTCCCAGGTCACTGCGTGGCCCTCTTCGGGCGTGTCCAGCTCTGACGTAGGGAAGCAAATGGGAAGAGTCACCAGACTTATGAGTCAGGTTGGAGCTTCAGATCTCCAGAAATGGGGGCGGGGGGAAGAGGAAAAAACCAGCCAAAAGCTCTCCTGGGAGATGCTGTGCTTTGTGTCTTTTGTTCCGCGCGGCGGCAAAAAGGAACCAGGAGCAGGGAGTTACGGGGCGGGGGGGGGTGAGATGGGAGCTCGGTGGAGGTGGGGTGCTTTGATGGAGAGCTGTCCTCCTGCCTCGGCAGAAGTAGGGACGGCCGGGTGCCGAGGAGGGCACTGGAAGGAGCATGAAGGGGAGAGCTTGGTGTCATGTAGACCAGGGCTTTCCATCTGACTGAGCCTTAATCCAGCCCAAAGCCCTGCAGTGATCCCTCTCTTGGCACTGGTGTTTCTCCTGCTCTACCCCATCACACCGAGGAGCCTCCTGCTACAGCAGGAGCGGAGGGAGGATGCTCCACGGTGGCCACCTTCCTTCCTCCCAGCCTCCGTGCCCATTAAGCCTTATAGAATAGGATCACAGACTGGTTTAGGTTGGCAAAGCCCTTGAAGCTCCCCCAGCCCAACCGTTCCCCTACCCCTGCCATCCCACCCCCAAACCCTGGCCCTCAGCACCGCCTCAGCATGGCTCAGGCCACCCCCGGGGCTCGGCACACACCTCGAGGTGCCTCCCACTGCCACGTACACCCAGGTAATGCTTTTTTCTCTCTCCCAGCGTATTCAGCCAAGCGGGGCAGAGTCAGCCGGCACCTGCTCAGCAGGGCATGTACAACAACATGAGCATCACCGTCTCCATGGCGGGAGGAAACACCAACGTCCAGAACATGAACCCCATGGCCGGACAGATGCAGATGAACTCGCTGCAGATGCCCGGGATGAACTCCATGTGCTCGGAGCAGGTCAGTCCTGCGCCATCATCAGAGAATCATAGAATCACAGAATGGTTTGGGTTGGAAGGGACCCCCAGAGCCCACCCAGCCCATCCCCCCCGCAGGAGCAGGGACACCTTGAACCACATCAGGTTGCTCACAGCCCCGGCCAACCTGGCCTTGGATGTTCCCAGGGATGGGGCCTCCACCCCCTCTCTGGGCAACCCCTACCAGGGTTTCACCACCCTCACTGGAAAGCATTTCTTCCTTAGATCCAGTCTAAACTTACCCTGGTTTAGTTTAAAGCCATCCCCCCTTGTCCTGTCCCAGCTGGCCCTACTAAAAAGATTTTCCCCCTCTTTCCTATAGGCCCCCTTTAGGTACTGAAAGGCCGTAATCAGGTCTCCCCGCTCCTGGGATGGTCAGCAAGCTCCCAGGGGTTCAGTGTTCACTTCTCCGGCCCTGGGGGTACTGGTGCCCAAAGTGGGGGAAGCAGCAAAGGTCTGGCTGCCTCCCCTGGCACTGCCACTGTGCTGGAGCCCAAGGCCACTGGTGCCCTGGGGTGTCCCCTGTGTCCTTGGGGGGGTGCAGGGATGTGCCGAGCATCTCTGGCACCTCCAGCCTGTGCAGCGGGCTGGCAACAGGTCCATTTGTAGCCGTGCATCCCCAGGGAGCTGTGAAAGCTGGGGCTGGGAAACGGGGAATGGGAACAGTTGGATACAGGACCCTTTCCGCTGTCCCAGCCCTTTGGTGAGATCCTCCCTGGGCTGCCTCCAGCTTTTTTAGCTGCCGGGGTTTGTCTCAGCGCCATTATGCTCCTAGAGGACACGCTTGGCTCGTTGGTTTTGCATGGGAGCGTTGCGGGACAGGGCTTGGAGCCTCCCTGGGGAAAAGCCGCAGGGCTCGGCAGAGGAGGAGGCTGGTCCCTTCCTTGAGCTGGCCACGGCGCACGGGCTGAGCCGGTGGCTTTTACCCCTCTCGCTGAGCAGCTGGGTGGCATTTCGTGCTCCCTGGGGGGGGCGTGATGCCCTCGGAGCCACCAGCAACCCAAGGCAAAGGTGGGGAGAAAGGCGAAACAGGGCCCCCCACCGATCCCCCCCAAAAACCCCACAGCCCATGGAGGATGTCGGTTCCCCTGCTCTGCCCCATCTGCGGTCCCTGTATCCCCCCAAACTCAGCTCGAGAGGGCGGCGAGTGCCCCTCCAGCATCCAGGAGCCCCGGCTGAGCCTGGATCTTGCTTTTGACAGGTAAATGACCCGGCGCTGAGACCCGCGGGCCTTTACTGCAACCAGCTTTCCTCCACTGACCTTTTGAAAACAGAAGCAGATGGGGCGCAGGTCAGTAAGAAACTGCTAAGCACATCTCAGGTACCCCGAGGAGTTGGACGGGTTCCCCCCGTAAAGGCTGAACGTCCCTGGCCCTCCCGGCTCGGCACGCTTGGTTTCCACCAGGGCTGCCGGGGTCGGGTTGAAGCGCTGGGTGACGGCCAGCCCTTGGGGATGTCGGTGCCGCTCACAAACCCTCTTTGCATCAAAGCTTACGCCGCTGCCGTGA